CGGGAGGATGGGGGAGGGGCGTGGGCGGGGCGGCGCCATGGCGAGTCTCCTCAGAGCACTTCCGCGCCTGCTGCTCCGAGAGGCGCCGCGGCGGGCCATGTGGGGCCGAGCGGACGGCTGCGGGCCCGGTGCGGGGGCCGGACGCGGGGACGCAGGTAGGACGCGGGCCTCGCAGGCCCCGCCGCCTCCCGGCTTTCGCTGTCACGTCCCGGGCGCGGGTCTAGGCCGGGCGCTTCGCCTCTCCGAGCCTCCCTCCGTGCGCCCCGTCCTCTCCCTGTAACCTTTCGGGGGGACACACTGACCCCTGTGAGGGTCCGAGGAAAGTACAAATTCTCCACCCGAATGTACACACATTTTTGGGGGGGGGTCAGGGGCCGCTGACGCTTATCCAGGGCCCGTCTGTCCCCTGTATCCGCCGCTCCTGCCAGTCCTGCGAGCTTCCTCCGCGCGTCTGGGCAGCGGGCAGTTCAGATCCGCGTGGCTGGGTGTTTCCTGCCCTGCCGGAGTTCCCTGTGTCCAGCTAGGACCCAGGGAGACCCGGCCAATCCTCTGTTCGCTCCTTGCACTGGCACCGTTAATGGCCGCGAGATGGACCAAGGGCAAGGGTGCGTGTGTTTCCTGCCCAGTGCCCTTTGCTCCCTCTTGGATTGTGGTGAACATTTACACGTCGCCGTTAGGAAGGCCTCGCAGGGGGACACCTGCATCCACCAGCGCTGCATTTCAGATCTGTGTCGGGGTGACCTGGTGCCCCGTGGATTGGCTTCCTGGGCTGTCGCCCGACTGGCCCACCTTTGAATCTAATTTTATGTGTGTCCATCGAAGACACGTGGAGACACCTAACTTATGGAAAGGTTCCTTTGTTTGGAACTCTGTTTATGCCCTGAAGTTTCTAAAATGTAGTGTTGAAGAAATAAGTAGATAAACGACTTCCCGTTACGGCCTTCCTAACCCCTGGTATCTCTAGTCAGCCAGTCTGATGATGGTTTTGGAGCCACTGTGTGTCCAGCACTGTTTTTGGCTGAGAACCACAGGTGATGGAAACAAATCACAGTTGCAGGCTGGAGCTCTCCTCATCTGCCTTTGACGGCAAAGGGGTTTTTGTGGAAACTTCCTGGTTGTACGAGGTGCTGTCGGAAGCAGCCTAATGAATTGCCCTGGGATCTGAAGTTCTTCAGCAACATTAAAATTTGGCCAGACACCAGTACATAGCAGGAGCTGTGTAACTTATCAGACACCCCTCCTGGGAATTTATTCAAAGGAAATAATTCAAAAGAAGAACAAAGAAAGCTGTATGTGCAAAGATGTTTTTAACAACACCACTCTTGAGAACGGGAAACTGGCTAGAACCCAAATCTGTTAAGACATACTTAAGTAAATCATGAACGTTCAATTCAACGAACCATTAGGCATCCATTAAAAATGATAAACAGGTAATAGGTCGTGGTGAAGGGCTTGGACGTCAAAGGGTGGGAATTTGAGTCTTGACGTTCCTTCACTTACTGACTCTGTGAGCTCAGGCTATTACACAGTACCATAGATGGAGTAGCTGAAGCAACAGACATTTTTCTCACAGTTGTGGAGGCTGGGAAATCCAAGATCAAGGTAACAACAGATCCCATTCCTGGTGTGGGCCCACTTCCTGGCTTGCAGATGGACGCCTTCTCCCCGTGTGTTCACATGGAGAGAATGAGCTCTTGGGTCCCTTCTTATAAGGACATTAATCCTCCATAAGAGCCCCATCCCCATGTCCTAATCTAAACCTCATCACCTCCCGAAGACCCCACCTCCAAATACCATCACACTGAGGGTTAGGGCTTCAACATATGGATTTGGGGATGGGAACCATACAGAGAACACAAATATTCAGTTCACAGGTATCTTTGGACAGTTTCTTAGCTTGGTAAACTTAAACCTCAGGGGTTTTTTTGTTCTTCTATAAAATAAGGATAATGATAAGAGTAGGGTTGGACAGAGTAAATTTATTTTAAAAATTAAGTGCTTTGTCATAATGCTTGGCATTTAGCAAGCACACAATAAATGTTAGTTATAATTTACACAGATAATTATGAAAAGGACAAAAATGTAGCGACATTTTAACTAACCTCATGGGCTTAGGAAGGGTTGAGGTAGAGAGAGAGAAATTGGGGGAAATGAGAAGATATTGAAATGGTACAGGAGCGTTCTCCAGGGCTGAGATCTCTGAAGTGCTCAGAGGCGAGGCCCCCATGATTGATTTTTGTCATCCAGATTGACAAAGAGCAAATTGAAAGAAAAAGGAAATGGCCTGGAGAAAACCGTTGCTTCAGGAAAACATTCTCTAGAGATGACTCTGGTAGGAAACCATCCCGGGCATAAGGTTAAAACAGTCCAGGCACTGTGGTGGGAGCCACCACTGCAGGTTAGAGTGGGCTGGGGGTTCTTTGTATACCAGCTCTTAGTGGGTTCCGTTAGGTATGACAGGTACTTATGGAAATAAGTCTGGCTTGTGTGTGGCAATGGGGCAACAACTATAGCCACAAAGGCCAAAGGAGGCAGCCAGTGTGTCCGAGAATGGGTTTCCTGAGGGATGAGAAAATTGAGGGCCACCCCATAGATCTTATGACCAAGAAGGTACATGGCCTGTGCAAATCACAGCACAAAGAAACCCAGAGCATAATTCACGGTAAAGCTGGATAGCTGTCTAGTATAATAGCAGCTTCAGCTAAACTTTGTGGTTAGTTAACAAGAGACTCTGAAAAAGACAACAAGAGGGAATCTGGAAAACATGTGGTCCCCAAAGGACCAACACATGGTACAGAGGACAGAAAACACGTGCACACACACACATAAAAGGGCAAGAAACAGTGTTGCAACCTCTCTCTAGGCACTGGTGCCAAGAGGACTTTACTCATTCCCGGATGAGAGACCTCATCGTGTGCTTTATGTACATGTGCCTAAATTGCCCTTTGATAAAACTGCATGGAATTTACTTTCAATGCAGTTTTCATTTAGACTTTGGCTGTTTCCTAAAGCCCCATCATATTTGTTTGCTAGGGCTGGTATATTGAGGCTACAGACCAGGTGGCTTAAATGATGGACATTTCATTTTGTACAGTTCTGGAGGCTGGAAGTTCAAGGGGCCTCGGGGTTGGTTTCTCCGGAGGCCTCTCTCCTTGGCTTGGGGATGGTCACCTTCTTGCTCTGTCTTCATGTGGCCTTTTCTCTGTGCAGGCTCATCCCTGATGTCTCTCCCTCTTCTTATGATGACACCAGTCTTAATGGATTAGGGACCCCTCTGAATGGCCTCATTTTAACACAGTCATCTCTTTAAAGGCCCTGTCTCCAAATGCAGTCACATTCTAAGGCACTGAGGATTAAGGAGGGGAGGGTTCACAATTCAGTCCCTAACACCCAGGTCAAAGAAACCTCTTAGAGTGACACAGACCACATGTATCCTGACCTGAGCACACCCAACTGAGCATTTGTCATTTTGCCATCCAAGCAGAGTCTGTCTGCCCTTGCCCGAGTCTTCTAGGCTGGCAGATTTGCAGCTAAATGTTCCATAATCGGTGCTTGAACAAGAGCTAGTCTGAACATTGTTACCTGCCCGCTAAGCCTTTCATACACATCAATGATAGTGTAAAAGGCACACATAGATAAGGACTAAAAGAGCCATGAAAAATGTGTTTTTGTGTTGAATTTGGATGAAGTAATTCTTTAACACTTTAAATATTAATTATACATTTTAAACTATAAAGAAAACATTAGGGCTGGGCACAGTAGTGCGTGCCTGTAGTCCCAGCTCCTTGGGAGGCTGAGGGGGGAGGATCATTTGAGCCCAGGAGTTCGAGGCTGCAGTGAGCTGTGATTGTGCCTGCGAACAGCTGCTGCACTCCAGCCTGGATAACGCAGAAAGACCAAGCTAAAAAAAAAAGAAGCCATGGGGAAGAGTCGTGGACGATAGCCTGGGTTTCTGGCTGAAACACGGAGTCGATGAACCTGAGCACACAGGAGGAAGAGCAGATTTGGGTGTGGCAGGGAGATACACGAGGTTATTCTGTGTGTAGTTGGAGATGGGACAGCCAAGTGGAAATATCCGGGTGGCAATGATGTGTGAGTCTGGAGCTCAGCAGAGAGCTCTAGGGTGGAGGGAAAATAGATTTGGGAGTCCCCATCATGTAGGTGGTACTGTGAGCTACTAAGTGGGTAAAATCACCCAGGCGGCAGGTGCAGAGTGATGAGAGAAGAAAGCCTAGGACAGGTAGACGCCCCTGAAGGACACCGTTATTCAGGGAATGGCTGGAGGAAGGAGAGAGAGAGAGAGAGAACCCTGGGAGGGCGTGACTGCAGAACAGAGGGAATTTGATGTCACAGAGCCAAGGGAATGGAATGTACCACAGAAGAGAGAGAATGCCCATAGTGCCAAACACTGCCGGAGCCACGAAGGTAGGGATGACGCGTTCATTGGTTTTACTAAGAAGAGTGTCGTTAGTGAGCTCTCTTCACAGGTTCCGTGCAGTCATGGGGTAGATGCCAACCTTTTGAGGAGTGACAGAGAGGTGAGGAAGTCTACATGCAGGTGGCAGGGCCAGTGGAGCGTGAGAAGTCGATAATTCAGGCGAAAGGGGGACAATGTATGGATCTTGGTCCTTAGGCCAAAAGAGAGGGGATCCTGAGCAGAGGTGGGGAAAAAAAAAAACAAAACGTGGCCAGGAGGACTTGGTCACTTGTTTCACTGGGACCAGGTGGAAGGAGGAAGGGTGGGTGCGGGTACAGGAAAATGTGATGGTTTGGTAGCACAAAGTTGAGGGATTTCTTTTGTGGTAGCGTTTGATTTCTGAAAAGTGAAATCATCTGTTGAGAGGAAGGTGGGAGGTGGTAGAGACGGCAGTTTGCAGAGGATAGAAAAGGTTTGAATATCCATTGTGGAGGAGGAACGAGAAGGAAACAGTAATCACTGAGGTTCTTTGAGACCCCAGGGAGATTAGTAACTTGGTGTTTTTGTTTTTATTGTTGTTTGTTTTCCTTGGCCTCACATGCTGGAAGAGATTGGTAACTTTGTATTTAGGACGACAACTCTCTCCCTAGTCTGAGGATTTTCTCCAGTAGTGCTTAGTGGTTAAGGGATAGACATGGAGAAGATAATTTTTAAAAAAAGCTTTCTTATTTCAGAATCACTTTAAATTTACAGACATGTAAACAGAGTACAGAGGGTTCCCAATCCCCTCACCCCAGCTTTCCACCTGGTTAACTTCTTATAGCGTTGGGACATTTGTCTACGCTGAGAAACTGACACTGGTACATTATTGTGAACCGAACTCCAGCCTTTGTTCGGATTTCACCAGATTCTTCATTAATGTCCTCTTTCTGTCCCACATCCAATCCTGGGGTCCACATTGCATTGTCACCATGTCTCCTTATTCTCTGGTTGGTGACAACAGCTTTTCTATCTTTCCTCGTTTTTCATGGCCTTGATAGTTTTGAGGAGTACTGGTCAGGTACTTAGTAGACTGTCTGTCAGTCTGGGCTGGCTTGATGTTTTGCCTCATGGTTGAACTGGGATGGCTGGTTGTTGGGAAGAATCCCACAGAGCTGAAGTTCCCTGGTGGAGTCAGGCGCCCTTCCCCGACCTCTTTCCCTACCACTGAGATGCACGCGTGCGCCACAAGCACACACACCCTTATCTACATATTTATCTTGCTGAACCTTTTGAGAGTCAGTGTCATCGTGACACTTTACCTTTAAATATTTCAGCATGTCTCCTAAGACCAAAGATTTTTTTTCCCTGCAAGAATCACAAGACAGTTTTCCTACTCCGGAAATTGAACGTCCTTGTCTAATAAAGAGTTCATATGCAAATTTCCCTAATATACCAATAATGTCTTTTTAAGCTATATTTTTTTCCTCCTGGGATCCAGAATTCACATTGTATGTAGTTGCGGAGGGTAGTTGTTTTGCAGAATTTCCCTCAATTTTCGCTTATGTGGTCGTTTCTTCATGATTAGACACAGATTTAACATTTTTGGCAGGAAAACTCTACTGATCATGGTCTGTCCTCAGCACATCACATCAGGAGGACGGGATGTCACTTGTCTCACTATTGGTGACATTAACTTTGCTTACTTGGGTAAGGTGGAGACTTCTGGATTTCCCCATTGTAAAGGCATGTTTTCTTCTTTGTAATTAATAACCTTTGGGACATATTTTGAGAAGGTGTGACTGTTCTGTTCCCCAATAGTCTTTCACCCGGGGGTCTTAGAATCCCCTGATGACTCTTGCTTGAATCAGTTATTATTTTGGTGGTTGCAGAAATGGTGATTTTTAAAATTCTGTACTTCCTTCTCCATTTATTACTTGGCATTCTGCATGATAACGCTGCAGGCCACTGAGCAGGAAAAATTGTCACATAAATACATTTTGCTTTGCTCCCAAAGTGATGAGTTCCTGAAAAATCGTGTGTTAACGGTGGTGTATTTGCATAGGAAAATTTCAGAGGCGGAGGTGCATTTCTATAGTAAAGAGAAATCCCTGTAGCCATATAAAAATTATGTTTAAGAAAAGACAACTTTTAATATGTTTAACAGTTAAGAAAAACTTTTAATAGAATGTAAACAATCATAAACAGTATACAACACTGAAAATACCATGTTGTGCGGTATTACAAACTGGTGATGAAGATAACTCTTTTCTTGCTGAAGTATTATTTAGGACTTTTCTTTTGTAACCAAAAATGAATTTCAACCATAATTTCTGATGTGTTTGATATATGGCTGCTGACATCACAGGCCTTTAACATTTCATTTTCAATGCCATGGTCAGATTAAATAAACTTTTTGAGCCCCGATTTTCTCATTTGTAAATTGAAGAGTTGGATAGATTATAAAATCCTTTCAAATTCTTAATGTTGGCTGATTAAAAACATTTATTGTATAGCCTGGGCTCCCTACTCCTTGGCGAAAGACAATATTGTTCTAGTTTGTTTACACTCACCCAGATAAAAACTAGTAATATAGAAGCCAAAGGGAGTAGAAAAAAAGGGATACAAAATGTGGACAGAAACCATGAAGCATAATAATAAACTATGGTATTGCTGCTTCCCTTGCAGGAATATATGCTGTAGGGGTCTCTCCTTCTTTTCCATGCAGGATTTTTCTAATAAAGACGTCCCTTGACGAACAAAACCGGAGATATCTTTATAAACCAGCAAGGGAGACGAGTTTAATAACTCACTAGCTCCAGGTTCTTTTCTAGCCAGTCCCTCAACTACCCCCAGCTGCGTCCTGCTGGGAGCTGCTGCTCTAAAGTAGTCAGGAAAGAGGATCAGTTTCCCCCAAGGCACCTGGGGGGAATTTCTTCTGCGTGATTTCCTATATCAGCTGCCTCTTTCGCTTCTGTGCCCCAGGAGGACTAGAAAAGCAGCTCTCTACTTATTAGTAATTTCTTATTAAATTAAATAGTCAATGAAGGCCTTTTGTACCTGAGATTTCTGGTCCCTGTGAAAAATGAAGCAGTGGGAGAGAGAAGGAGGGGTTGGACTATTCCATTGGTTGACAGTGAGCTTTAGGAGCAAGGTCAAGGAAGAAAAGTTCGTCGTGCCTTTTTGTTTTAATAAAAAAAATTCCTATTTAACAATACAGGGTCTCCCACAAAGCATGAGCCGTCTCTCACCAAAAGCGAATGGCAAAAGAAACTGACCCCAGAGCAATTCTACGTCACGAGAGAGAAAGGAACAGAACCGGTAAGTTCAACTGGTTTACAGCTTTCTGATTAGATGTGTTGGGAGTGAGGGGGAAATTGGAATAATCCGTCTACAAAACCTCACTCCTGGCCACCCGCGCCCAGATCTGGTCTTCCTCCTGATCCATCGCCTTCTCAGGGCGATGATACCAATCAAGGTATAGAAACCCGAAACTTCCCCCTGGACACATGGCCACCGCCATGGCCTCTGTTCTGCCTCCTAAGTAACCTCCCAGTCATTTCATTTCCCTCTGCTGCTCTCACCTCTCCGCTGGGCCCGCTCACCTCCCCTGCACCCGGCCAGCCTTGCTCCTGCCGACCCGTTGTCCACACACAGCCAAAGAGGCCTTTGGAAAACACGAATGTGACCACATCACTACCCAGCCCAGAACCCTTCAGTGGCTGCTCACTGCTTTCAAGGAGAAAGAAAAGTATTAAATGGCTAATAAGGTCCTAAAGGCTCTGGCCTCTGCCTCCCACCCTATCCTGAAATCCCACTTTGGCCACATGTCCCTCCAGCTCTCCCACACCCTGGACTCCCACCTCTTCTAAGGCTCTCGCACCCCACATTCCTTCCTCTTTCCTATCGCCTTTCCTTCTGGTTAATTCACACCTACGGTTAATTCACACGCTGTAGCTCAGCCCAAGTCCCACTTTCTCAGGGAAGCCTCTTCCCAGCCCCGAGCGAGGTTTGCTTTACCAGCACTCACCCTTCATAGCATCTGCCATGGCTCTGTTATCCCCTGGCACCTAACGTGCTGCCTGGCTGTGGAAAATCAACTTGGAAAATCAATTGCATTCAGCAATCTCAGCTTTCTGTCATCTCTGGAGAGAAAAAGGCTTGGTGGGTCCTCCTTATAACACCATTTTTTTACAGTGTTGCATTTCTTAACAAGGATTCTGTCTTAAACCCAAATAGAGCCCCTAGAATTTAGCTCTTGAACTTTGTTACTAGACATTTTCATCTGTGAGGCCGATCCCACAGAGTGGACCACAGCACAGTGGTTTTGCAACATTGTATTTTTCCTTTGTCAGTACCTGCAGACTTCAGGTGGCTATCTGTGTGTCCGAGGCCTTATAATCATGGTCTCACCCTCAGTTTCTCTGATGCTAAAGTCATCGGACAGACCAGCACATCCCAATAGAGTATGGTGAAATGCTGGTCTTTTTTAAAACTTCCTGTGGGTGAGATTTTAATAAAGTCTTCACTGGGAGAAAGACTACATTAGCTGTTATTGTAGGTAGCACAAAGGAGCCTCACGTGATAGCCTGTGAACAGTTACATGCATTCCTAGAATATTCTAAGGCAGCCCTAATTCCCAGGTACAGAGCAAGGCAGGGTTTGGTGTATACACAGGGCCTAGAGATGAGCTGCCAGATGTTTAGGAGAATAAATCTGTGCGCTTCTTGAACAGATGGTGCAATATACTCTGTGCATTTGGCTATTTTACAAAATGAGCATCTTCCATTATTTTAACTAATGTTATAAATCCCATCCCGCTGATTCATTTCCACATTTAACTTTTTAGAATATTATGGAACTATAAGGCTTAGTTTGCTTCATTAGGCTAAGAGAGGAGAAATAAAACATCAAAGACTTCTCTTTGGTGACTCCCAATTAAAATTCAGTTACACGTGTTTTTTATCCTGAAACAGTAGTGTTGGCAGCACTCTGCTAGACCAGTGAAAAAATTTACAGCTTGGTTGATCAGTAACTGAAAGTCCAGTATCAACAGAAGGGAGGTTTTATGCAGGTCATTCTCTGTCTGCCCCCCAGACCACTGTCCATGGGCTTCTCCCTGCTCTGAGCTCTGGGAAGTGACCACCAGCTCCCTGTCCCTCTGGCTGCTGATTTAGTTTAGACAGCAGGAGGCCCAGCGAGGTCAAAGGGTAGGATGGAGAAATCACTGGGGCCCGGGGGCCTCTCTGTGGGGCTGCAGGTTGGCAGTGGCTGTGTTCCTCTGCTGCAGGTGGCAGCCCCCTCCCTTCCTTTGTCCCACAGGCCTAGTGGGGGTCCTATGTTGGTTTCCATTGGTCCTGTCCCCACTCTGTAATGGCCCCACATGAAATTATCTGCAGTCGTCCATTGTGAATGTGTCGTCTGTTTCCAGCAGGTGTGTTGGACTGACAAGATCCCCAAAGGGTGAACTGCCATTGGTCCAGACAGGCCTTGACATCCCAGGGGAATCTCGACTGTCACTCTTCTCTGACCCTGGCCCCCTCTCTGCAGCCAGTCATTTCAGTTCTTTCTTCTAGATTATTCCTGACTCTTGTTTACACTGCTCTGCCTGGGCAGGAGCAGTCACGAGGCCCTCTGGAGTGACGGACATCGGGTTGCTCTCTGCCCCCAGTGGCTTCTTGCCCCCTCTCCAATCCATTCTTCCCCTGCATGTCAAATGAGTTTTCTCAAAACCAGCTCTGCCCTACTGTTTCCTACTAACCGAGATTACATTTTAAAAAAAGAAAAAAATGTTAATAAAACCCAGCTCTGATCAGGCGTACACCGAGTTTACAAGTTTCCAGTAGCTTTGCATTTCCGGTAAGACTGCGTTTAAGCTCTTGGGCGGGGCTAACCTGGTTGGCCCCTCCTGCCTTCCCAGCACAGTGTCTGTCCCTCCTCCCCCTTCTTCCCACACGTGGCCTTGGCCACGCTGTTCTGCCTGCTGGAAATGCTCTTCCGTGTCTTCATCTGATCAACTCTTTCTCATCCTTCAAAACCCAGCTTAGTGTTTTGAAATTTTTCCATAATAAACATCCATCAGCTGTGTATTTAAAAATAATAGTAATAAAAGGTTAAGGGGAAAAAAGACCCTCTCCCTGCCCACCCCCCCATCTCATCCAATATCTGGTGCGGAAACTCCCTTCATAGTGAAGGATACAACACTACCAGACCGCATGCCCTCCCTGTCCAGCTGTCACCATATGGTGTAAACTGTCAGCTCACCTGTCTCTTCCCATCTGGGTGGCAAGTTCTTCGAGTGCAGGAACTGTGGGTTGTTTTTTCCATTACCTCTGCAATATTATACCCAGCGCAGCACTGGATACAGAAATGCTGGGACACAAAGTGAGATAGAAGCTGAGCTTGACCCTAAAGAAGTGATAGGACTTGTATAAAATTGGCAAGCAGGGAAGGGAAACATCAGGAAGCCAGGCAAGGAGGGAGCGGGTAGGTGTCATTTCCTAAAGTATATTGGCCAAAGATTCCTCTTCATTTGAATTCTTATTTGTATGATTATATTTTTTACTTGCTGTGACAGCAGTTAGTTCCCTGTTAACTTCCTCTGCCCAGCTGCCCGCTGCAAAGATGAAACTGTATTTTGACTCTTACCAGGCTGTCTGGATCCTATAAATGGGCTTTTCTAGACCAGCCTTGGGACTGGCAGCCCTCTTGCACGTGTGCCTCCTCAGCCCAGGCTGTGGATGGGAAACCCACTTCATTGTACATGCCTATCAGCGCCCGTGCTGGGATCAGGCATTCGATGGAACAGGCCATAAAAGGCCAACTCACTACTGTTTGGATTTCTGCAGTTGAGTTTTGGGTTTTTAAAGAGGGAAAACATCTAAGTGTGTCCAGATGGTAGGCTCAGTAGGTTAATTTGGAATTGTCTTGCTACGCAGCTCACTGGAAATGTGCTGTTAATACTAGCACAGGGAATTTGGAAGTACGGCCTGTGAGGTTTTGAAGTTGGGGAATCCGGAGAGGGCAGAAGAGTCCAGTTATTTCCTGAGCCAGCTTTGGCACTCGGCGAACCTTTCTGTGCTTTTGCGTCTCCTCCAGCTGTAACATGGGATAGCGCTTGCCACCAGGCACCGTGACAGTGGATCTTCATAGTTAGCTTGTATAAGGGTTGCTTTTTCTTTAATTTTCTTAGACAGAGGAGATGACAATAGGAATTGGGCAAAATGGCCTTTTTTTTTTTTTTTTTAAAAGTGACATCCAGTTTGCAAAATAACATTTAAAAAAATCTTGACTCAGCTGACTCATTGCCTTAAGTGTCCTTGTGTTCCTCTTGGAATAATGCCTTTGAAGCCCTGCAAACCCTTCAAGCCACAATGAGTGTAGTCATTTCATCTAAGTAGTATCCTAGGCACTGTGGGACTCTGGCTCGTTATTTAACATTTATTAAACGTGCAGTGTCCTAAATACCATGTGAAGCATATTAAAGGCACAACCCCGATCTCACTGAACTATGCTTTTTATGTATCTGTATTCTCTCTTTAATTGGAGATTTCAAAGTACGTTAGTGGACTCGATTCCTGTTGTATTAATATTAACTCTTTTGAAATGGAGACCGAAGTTTTACACAATCGCAGAGGACAAGACTCTGTTCTCTTGCTTTTTCACTGTCTTTGAAGTTCTTGGATGAAAGGCGCTATACAAATACAAAGCATTATTAATGTCATAATTTGAATATTGGGCACAATAAGGCCCGGGCTGTAAACAAGGCTGCAGGCTGCCTCACTGGTTGCCTTATAGTTTTCTCCCCGGTGATATTTACATTTGGTCAAATTAGTACAGAAATTCCTTGGTTTGGAGACTTCTCTGGGATTCACATCTGCTCTGTCATCTGCTGGTCGGATAAGAAACTGAACATGACGGGTCTAATTTACTTTCAGCCTTTCAGCGGGAGTTACCTGAACAACGAGGAGGCAGGAATGTATCACTGCGTGTGCTGTGACAGTCCGCTCTTCAGGTAAGTTCGAGAATCAAGGGCAGGAACAAACTGCCAAACCTTTTTTCCTATCACTCAGAGCTGTGCACGAGACTTCTTAGCTTATATTCTTCCTTGAACCCTGAGAAATAGTAAACAAGTAAAACTTGGTGGGCACCTTAATGATAAAGCTGTTAGAATATTATAGAGGGAAAGTTTTTAAAGAAATCTAAACCATAATTGTATTTGCTGGGCCACGTGATTAAAACTGTATCTCTCCCAGGGAAAAAAATGGGTTTATAATTGAATTTAGGAAATGCAGAATTTTATGAGGATAGATTCCCCGCAATGCTTGACAGTAGGGAATACCATGCCCTCTTCTGTGTAGCTAAAAGTAAATTTAATTGTCCCTTGATTTCAAAGCCTCTTTTAAGTCAATCAGGACCTGAAATCTCTCAACAAATGCTTTTTTGTTTAGACATGCAGGAAGCAGTCTAAAAAAAGGAGATTCGATGAAGAAGAAAGGAAAACATCTTTGAAGTCCTGCTTTTCAGAACTTCAAAGATGTTTTCCTTTCTTTTGCATCAACCCTAAATTGGTTTAGAATAAAATATAAATCAAGCCAGCTCTGCGGATCGTCCATTAGGCATTGCTGCCTTCTGTCCTCTGGGCTTTGAGCAGCCCGGCTTTGCTGGTCCGGCTGCTGACGTGGGCTGCATCAGGGAGCCAGGCCCCCTGCGAGGATGAGCGATTAGTATCGATTTTCCTTCACGGTCACGGAAGCGCCGGCCTTCGCGGTACAGGGGAAACTGGAAGGTTAATTTTTACCCAATAAAGTGTGGAACTTGTATGTCTGAGATATTAGTTATTTCTTGACACTCGGTTTTGTTAGACAAGAGAGGCAGGACTTTTGAGACGGCTAGTGTGCTCTCAGCCAAAGCACCGTGTTGCCGGGTGTCAAAGATTGTCTCGCTCCTGTGCACTCACCTGGTTCCGTTTCCATCTTCGACTGTAAAGACGGAAGGTGAGAAGTCATCCTTGTAAGAGCGCGCTCCTGAATTGCAGTCTTCGCTCTGTGACTCCTTTGGGGTTCCAGCTTCTGCACCTGTAAAGAGGGGGCCTCCTTAGCACCCAGTGGCTCTGTCCAGTAGAACCTTCCGCAGCGATAGAAAGGTCTTTGCCTGACCACTGTGGTGGCCACTTATCCTGTGTGGCTGTTCAGCACTTAAAATGTGGCTGGTGTGGCTAAGAAGCTGAATTTCTTATTTTATTTCATTTTAATTAGATTAAACTTAAAAGGCCACAGGTGGCCAGTGGCTACCGTATTAGCACAATGCTAGTTCAAATTAAGGCAGTTAAGTGACCAACCCCAGGTGATGGAGATTGTGAAACAGCCAAGATTCACTGCTAGGAGAACCAGCCAATTCTCCAAAAGCCCATTCACCAGCTGGCCAGTTTACTGAACTGCCAATTCACCGACCTTCTTTGTTTCTTTTTAGCCATTTAGCTTGAACAGAAAAGTTTCCATTTTCCTATCTTAAGGACTTGTGAGTTTGTTTCTGTTCCATTTTCCTGTTGCTGCTATTGCAGCTGAGACTGGAGAGATAAATATATTCGTAAGAATCATTAGTGTTCCAGAATATACTCTTTTTTTTTTTTTTGAGATGGAGTCTCACTGTGTTGCCCAGGCTAGAG